GAGATCGTGCCACTGCACTCCAGCCTGGGCGATAGAGCAAGACTCCTCCTCAAAAGAAAAAAAAAAAAAAATCTGGCTGGGTAGAGTACTGTGTCCAAATAGAAATGTCAGATTAGCACAGTGGGAAGTAAAGACAAAAACTATGGGCATAGTTGAGGTGCCTAAAGGTCATAATTGTGACCCTTGTCTTGGTGTCTGAACCATAATGTCAAACGGTTTGGCAAAAAATAAATAGAATTTATATGTGTACACGCATGTGTGGAGAGAGAGAGGAAGTAAATGCCTTCCATTGCTTTTAGTTGGTTACTGGAGGTAAGCAGTATACAGGAAGGAATTCATTGTGCTAGTCTTTAAACATGTCTGTAAACTTGAACTTTTTTTACGTCTTTTTTTCTTTATTTTTGCGGGGAGATAGAGTCTCGCTTTTGCCCAGGCTTGAGTGCAGTGGCTCGGGCTCAGCAAAATGCACTCCTGACCACCTGGCCTCAAGCAATCTTCCCACTTCAGCCTCTTGAGTAGATGGGATTACAGGCATGCGCCACCACGACCGGCTAATTTTTGTATTTTTTGTAGAGACAGGGTCTCACTATGTTGCCCAGGCTGGCCTTAAACTCCTGGGCCCAAGCACCCACCTCTGCTTCCCAAAGTGCTGGGATTACAGGCAACAAGCCACCACTTCCAGCCCCCTTTACAATGAAAATTGAAAAAAAAAAAATTAGATGTATAAATGCAATATGGGTGTTTAGATTTCTGGTTTAAAATAAGGAAAGGCTGGGTACAGTGGCTCACACCAGTGCTTTGGGAGGCTCTGGCAGGAGGATCTCTTGAGACCGGCCTAGGCAACATAGCAAGACCCCAATCTCTACAAAAAATACAAAAATTAGCTGGGCATGGTGATGCGTGCCTGCAGCTACTCAGGAGGCTAAGGTGGGAGGATCACTTGAGCCTGGGAGACAGAGCGCAAGACCCTGTCTCCAAAAAAAAAAAAAAGTCTAGACTGTCATGTAACAGCTGCTGTCAGAGCCATTGGCCTTAGGGGATGAAGAGGCTTTCTATTGGGCAGCAGCACACCAGGCACTGTTCAGCTGCCAGAATTTGTGTGTTCATCAGATTTAGCTGGTAGATGAAATTGGAACAAAAGAGAAAACATGTGAAGCATAGTCCATTGTGGTTTGCCTGGGGACGGGGCAAACAGCCATCCTCCAGGCAGAGCAGATCTGTATTCTAGCCTTTCACCTCCCTGAATCGTCTACCCCCACAGCATAAGGGTTCTTAAGAAAGACAACACCCATGTGGGAGCACTTCTGCCATAACAGGCATCATACTGATGCCTCACCATTTTCTCAATCTATCCTCACTTTATCCTTAACCTCCTGTCACCTAAGGGGCTCTGGTCTCCATTGCACCCATAAAATCTTTGAGATGGGCCCGCTGGCCTCACACTTCACAGCTAGAGGGAAGCAGCGTTGGTCTGTACTGCTGAGCCCAGGCTCGGTCCATTATTTTGTAGGACTTCCAAGGGCATGCAAGGCGACTGGGAGCCAGAGCTTGTTACCTGAGTGTGGTGGGTGCCATAGGAAGGGAGACGTGACTGGAGACATAGTCAAAAGAGACTTGAGTTGAGTGGGACAGTTGTGCTGGGCTGGTAATGCAGAACCAAAAGGGAGTCTCTGGTGGGCACAAAGCATGCAGAGAATGCCGGAGAAGGTCAAGAGTACCCAGGGAGTAGCAGAGGGTAAGAGGCAAGAAGCAGGAGATCTGAGAATCATCAATACCATTCATCCATCTACAGTAGTGATGACCCTGCTCTTCTCTGCTGGAAAGGCACTGACGTTTGAGCAGAGGAGGGTGACAGGCAGGAAACAAACTTTTAAGTCAATAGATGGAGTGTCAGGTGGGGCCAAGCATCTGGGATCAAGTAAAAGTGGAGGAGGTAGGAGGCACTGGTTGAAAAAGAATGGTCCAGAAAGACCTCAGTGCTGACGCTTGTGTAGGGATTTGGAAGAGGCAGGAGAGTGAGCTGTGTCCACATCCAGGCACAAGCACTCCACTAGTGGGTGCCATGAGTGCTAAGGCCCTGAGGCAGGTGTATGCCCACTGTGTTCAAGGAGCAGCAAGGAGGCCAGGGTGCCGGAGCAGTGGGAGGGAGAAATGGAGGTAATGGGGGCTGGGGTGGGCAGACAGGTGCAAAAAGTTGAGCTGTACTTGGTGGGAGGTGGGAAGACCTTGAAAAGTTAACAGAGATGTGATCAGTCAACTTCAGTTTTAACAGGCTCCCCCTGGTGGCTAGATTGAGAATGGCTGTGCGGGAGGCTGGGAGGCCACTGCAGTGACAGATGCAAGGAATGTTTAAGACCAGGTCGAAACGGTGGCTGCAGAAGCTGTTGGGTAAATTCAGTATGCTTGCAAGTTGGGCCTCTCCAGTCAGTGCAGCAGCTCTTTGGCATGACCTTGTGGGCCACAGAGGGCCACATTTTCTGCTTGGGTTAGTGATGACCCTGTGCCTGCAAACGGAATGTTGGGGGTGGGGTAAATGCTAGTAGAAAGGGATTCATTTGTAGCATGGGCACTTCTAGATGACCACTTGTAAGATCTCAGTTGACCTGAGTTTTATAAACCAGGGAACCAGAATAGTCTGGTTTCTGTTTAAGAATCCATATCCTCCATAGGATTGAACATCTGATTTGTACATGACCGGGAAAGGCCATGGGAAAATGGCAAAAATCATACTTTACATTTTCTGCTTTGCACTTAGGCTCCCTGTCTCTATTCCCAAAGCTCCAGCCACCCTTGCCATACTGTATGGATTAGCTATGACTCCCCAGGCAGGGACAGTGGATGTCTTCGTCACCTTAGTCACCTGAGTTTCCAGCCCGGGCTGAGCCCTGGGCTTGACCCATTGTCCACTTGTAACGTTGATCGGAAGCTTGGGGTGCATATGGGTGTGGGGAAGAGGAATTCACCCAGCAGGGTGGGAGGGGCCGTTTGGATGGAACACTGCTACACAGCTGACAGGAGCAGCCTGCACTCAGTGTGTGAGTCCACCTGATACCATGTCCTGCAGCTGCATCAGGGCTCCCTGGGTCCCTTCTCTTACAGAGACTGTCGTTTGTGGATGTGGCAACAGGATGGCTTGGACAAGGACTGGGAGTTGCATGTGGAATGGCATATACTGGCAAGTACTTCGATCGGGCCAGGTAAGTCTCTTACCCAGAAGTCATTTAACTGCCCTGCATCCCCCTTCCTAGAGTCTTGGGGGACAGCCACCTATCTCCGTGAGGTGGAGAGCCCTAAAGGGCTAGTCCCCATCACATTCCGTGGTGACCCCTCTGGAAGGCTTCCCTGTGCCTTCTCCCCTCCTCGGGCAGCTGCCCCGCTTCCTATCCCACAGGTCTGTTGAAAGGTTTCAGCTGCTGTTGCCTTTCCGTTCTATAGCTTTTTTGAAGATTTCCAGCACTTTAGTGGGGTCTGGGATGTGTGGTTTGTTTTTGAGACTGTGTCTCACTCTGTGGCCAGGCTGGAGTGCAGTGGCATGATCTCAGCTCACTGCAACCTCTGCCTCTCGGTTTCAAGTGATTCTCCTGCCTTAGCCTCCTGGGTAGCTGGGATTACAGGCATGCACCACCATGCCCAGCTAATTTTTGTATTTTTAGTAGAGATGGGGTTTCGCCATGTTGGCCAGGCTGGTCTCAAATTCCAGACCTCAGGTGATCCGCCTGCCTTGGCCTCCCAAAGTGCTGGGATTACAGGTGTGAGCCACTGTCCCTGGCCGGATGTGTTTTCTTGATGGGAACACTCACATCGTTGGTTGTGGAGGAATTTACTTCACAGCAGAACACGTTTCCAAGTGGGGTGTTTTGATTGTGATTATTGTAAATAAGTTGTAAGAACAGAACTAGAAAGTGGTGGCTGGGCGTAGTGGCGTGGGCCTGTAGGCAGGAGAGTCACTTGAACCCGGGAGGTGGAGGTTGCAGTGAGCCAAGATCACGCCATTGCACTCCAGCCTGGGTGACAGACACTCTGTCTCAAAAAAAAAAAAAAAAAAATTAGAAGATGGCAATGCTTTAAAAGGGAACTTACCAGGAAAATGAATGTGTAAATGTTTGGGGAACTTAAGGGTGCTACTTTCTTCCCCTTCCCCTCTGGCCCTGTTTGCTTATTGATAAGGAAATGTGGCAGGAGAACCTAAAAGTTGCTTTACAGTTAGAAAACTAGCCAGAGGCAAAGCCTGTTTGTGAGCCCCAGGCTCTTCAAGCTCGGCTTCCTTAGCTCCTGGGCTGGGGCAGAGTTGATGACGGAAATTGTGGGAAGTGGATGGTCTGAAGCAGCTGCTCCAATTGCTTCCATTTCTCCTCCTGAAACGCATTTGCTTGGTTGGCCCAGATGAGCCCCCACAGGGTCCTAAACCTCTCTTGTCTTGCTCCAGCTACCGGGTGTTCTGCCTCATGAGTGACGGCGAGTCCTCAGAAGGCTCTGTCTGGGAGGCAATGGCCTTTGCTTCCTTCTACAGTCTGGACAATCTAGTGGCAATCTTTGATGTGAACCGCCTGGGACACAGTGGTGCATTGCCCGCCGAGCACTGCATAGACATCTATCAGAGGCGCTGCGAAGCCTTCGGGTAACTGTATTCCCTTGCGCTTGATTTCCATTCTGTCCTGCCCCCTTCATCTCTTGTAACCCAGCCTGCTCCTCTGTTGGCAGGTGGAACACTTACGTGGTGGATGGTCGGGACGTGGAGGCGCTGTGCCAGGTGTTCTGGCAGGCCTCTCAGGTGAAGCACAAGCCCACTGCTGTGGTGGCCAAGACCTTCAAGGGCCGGGGCACACCAAGTAAGCAAGCCCTTTCCTCCTGCTCCTGGTTGTTAAAAGCATCTGTCCGCTCAGCAGCAGAGGCGGGGAGAGGCTTAAATGGGCCTAGGAAGATGACTCATTTAGTGAATAGCAATTCTGCCTGGAGTATGTGCTGGAGGCTCCTGCTCTCTTATTTTCACTAGCTAGTGTCTGCTTAGCGTAGGAGGGGACATCGAAAGCCCTAGCAGGTGGACAGTGATGTACTGCCTGCACGAGGGAGTGGCTAGGAGTACAGCCCATTGGAGGACTGACGGGGAACAGTCTCTACGGTTAGTAGAATCAGAAAGTGTGCTGTGTGTATGAGCAGGTGCAGAAATAAGAGTGCATACTTAAACACGTGCCTAGGTCCACACTTTTCTGGAAGAACCCTGGGAGTTGGGGAAGAAGGGAGCTTGGAATCACCAACTATCACATTTCAAGGCTGATAGCTGAAATTGTTTATCTCAATTTAACTCATTACAAAGAGTGTAGTTCCTGGATTTTTTTAAGACTATAGACATTTTAGAATAAAACCGTTCTGTGACTCCTACCGAAAATACAGTTTTACTCTGGTACCCTCCGTTCAGTAACTTATTTTGCCAGTGTGCTCCCGGCAGGACCCTGGGTATTGACCTTGCCTCTGCCTCCCTCTCATAGGCCCACACATACACGCAGTCCCCTAGATTACATATCTTGGACTCATTCACTCCTCCCCGTCTCTACTACCATGGCTGTTGCCACACCCATCATCTCTCCCAAAGTTCCAGCTGGCCTGCCTCCGCACCAGTCTCTACACTGCCACCACAGTGATCTTTCTGTAATGGATCTGATCAGTCACTTTCTCCACTCCAAACCCTTCAGTAGTTTCCAATCTTGCTTTAGATAAAACTCAAACTTCTCATACCCACAAGACCCACCCTCCATGGTCTGCCCTACCTGTCTCTCCAGCCTTGTCATCATTCTCCCTTCCACTCGCCAGTGGCCCTCAGGGGCATAGCTAGGTGCAGTGGCTTGCACCTATAATCCCAGCTACTTAGGAGGCGGAGGCGGGAGGATCACTCGAGCCCAAGGAGTTGGAAGCTGTGGTGAGTTATGACCACCCGCTGCACTCCAGCTTGGAGAGGAGTCATAGCGTGAGACCCCTGTCTCAAAACAAAAAGCCTCAAGACCTTTGTCCAAGCTGTTCTCTCTGGCTGCAGCAGCATCCCAGGCCCTCCGTGCCAGGTGTTCCTCCTGTGAGTCCTAGGGTGACGTCTTTTTCATCAGGGTCTGTTTTTCAGGTGATCTCATAGGCACTCATTAAATATTTATGGAATGGATGTCTTTTATTTGTTTCATTACAGGTATTGAGGATGCAGAAAGTTGGCATGGAAAGCCGATGCCAAGAGAAAGAGCAGATGCCATTATCAAATTAATTGAGAGCCAGATAGAGACCAGCAGGAGTCTTGACCCACAGCTCCCCATTGAGGACTCACCTGAAGTCAACATCACAGATGTAAGGATGATCTCTCCACCTGATTACAGAGTTGGTGACAAGGTAGGCAGAAAGGTGGATAATTGAATAAATAAGGTATGTCAGCTGCTTTGTTCTCTAATGTTGTTCATATATACACAGGATTCTTCATTTATTCTGGTCTCCACGGACGAATCAATTATTAGAGTAATGTATAACAGTTTATAAGCAATAAAGAGAGGTTTGCCATTTTAAAAAAATAGATTTGGGGGCACAAAGTGCAGTTCTGTCACATGGATAGATTTTGTGTAGTGGTAAGGTCTGGGCTTTCCGTGCACCCAGCATCAGAGTAGTGGACATTGCACCCAATAGGTACTTGATCCTTCACCACTCCTATCCCCCCTTCTCTTTTATTAGGTCTGATTTTTATTTTTGGCTTTCACACGTGTGTCTGAATTTTCTGATTGGTCCATTGCTATTTATTAACTCCTGGTGTGGTGTGCCTTTTTATTGCTTCCCAACTTCGGTTTGTGCACAGAACTGCTACAATTCTGTATCTCCGCTAAGAATACTGGTCCCAGGCGGGCTGATCTTTTGAACTTACTCTCTGAATTACACAGAGGAGCAGGCCAATTCATCAGAAACCTCAAAAAGGAATAAAATTATGCCCAAAACTCTGAATATCAAGTCCTTTTGGTTTTTAGCATGTTTACATCCTGCCTTCTGGTATAGCAGACCTGACATAGGCAAGTTCTCTATGGCCTAGAGGAAGTAAGATGGCGAGCCTAGGGAGGAAGGACACACTTTCTGACCCTTTTTTATTTGGAGAAATTTTGAATGTTGTTTGTGTTTTCTTAGCCTGGTAATGAGGGTTAAAAATAAATGAATTTTGGGCCGGGCACGGTGGCTCACGCCTGTAATCCCAGCACTTTGGGAGGCCGAGGCGGGCGGATCACAAGGTCAGGAGATCGAGACCACGGTG